TAATTCAGTAGGAGAAGGCACATATCACAAGAGACAGTTATAGAGTGACTTACAGTATGGTAATTTTGTTTTCCTCACAACTACAATTAATACACTTCCCAATGGTGGGCCCTTCAGGGGCATGGGAATTATATTTGCACTTATTGAAGATGGAAGTTCTCACTGATAATTCAAGTTCTGTAATGTGTCACAAAAATGTACTACTCTTCCTAGCATCCATGCCTATGCAATACTGTTAAGATAACTCACAGGTCAGAGATCTCCATGACTGAAGCAGAGGCATGATTCGGACACAGCTGGGTCCCCTGGAGGGCCACTGTATTTCCTGGACCCAAACGGTCCAGGTTTCCATTGTTATAATGAAATCAGTAAATGTCCCAGAACTTTTAGTTATTGACTGTACATGACGACATGAAATTGAACTTTTGGAATGTGTCTACATTAGTAGAATATGTTGGATGTAGCCATGTGACCTCACATAGCCACCTGATCACAGGGAGTGGATAAAAGCAAACTGGACCAGCCGGGATTGAACCCAGGACCTCTGCCTATATATGGCGGTGCTCTAACCAACTGAGCTATCAGCCCTTGTACTAATGTCAACTCATGATGTATGTTGTCTAACAAGGCTAACAGGCTTTTGACCTTGACTATTCCAACAAAATATTATGGCAGGTTCTTACTAGTTGTGGACATTTGGGAGATCAGTCAGAACCTGACAAAACCGGATAAACCCGGTCTCTGCCAAAGCAGCCATTGTTCTCCATGGAGCATAGCCACCACTCCATGAAGTAACCATTGTTCTCCTAGGAGCACAATTGTACTCCTAGGAGTCATTATACTGTAGTGAGTAGCACCTCCGACTATAAGTAGTAGGGGGATTAGTATAGGAATACCTCAGTCGTTTCTATAGCCTCTCGGGCAGCGGCTGAGGTATGTTACATTACATTTATTAGAGATCACCTTAAACTAACATCTATTGTAGTTTCACTTAGGTTTATTAGAACCATGGCTTGTGCTTCCTTATCAGAGACAAGGAAAAGTGGATGTTTTCTCATATTAAAAAATCATATGTGTACCCCTTCTTGTCCGGGTTGGTCTTTCATCTTTTGCTTCTTGACTGTTGATTGCAGAGTGAACCATCATTTAGATTGTCTCCTGACTGAACATGGCCACTACATCACAGCAAAGCAGAAGTAATGGATGCCTTGTACTTGACTCTGATGGGGCTCACTCATTCCGACTATGAGTGATGTCTTTGTGCACTTTGATACTGCT